GTTTGTTTTTAAAACCCCTGAAGTTCCCTAACATCTTCGTTTTTAACAATACCACCCATCTTTTTGTCATCGGCGAAAATTTTCTCATATCACTAGTAATTCCCTATCAAGATCATTGATACATATTATAAAAAAAAAACGGGCCCAAACTGATCCCGTGGAACCCCTTGTTTTCAGTCCCCACTCGGATTTTAACCCCCTTTAGACATCTCTGTTCCCGTCAGTGACCATGACTCGATCCCGAAGCACTTTTCCCCCCAAAGCCGACTCCACTTTCTTTTTCAGTCTATTGCGGAGCTTATCAAAAGCCTTACTAAAAACTAAGTAAATAATATAAAAATTTTTTATCGTGGTCAACAGCCTCAAAAGCTTTACTGAAGAAAGTTAATAAATTAGTTAGACAACACCGGCCTCTTGTGAATCCATGCTGAGTATCATTAATCAAGCAATGCTTATCGAGATGGATTCTTATAATCTCGGCTATAATTGACTCTAGTAATTTGCCTACAGTTGAGGTCAGGCTTATTGGGCGGTAATTTGACGGTAACGACTTGTCCCCTGTTTTAAAACTAGGAGTTACATTAGCCATCTTCCACATATCAGACACTACACCTGTTTGACGAGATAAATTAAAAATATTAGTTAATGGTTCACAGAGTTCCATTTTGCATTCCTTAAGAACCCTTGAAAAAAACTCATCAGGACCCGGCAACTTATTTTGTTTCAGTCTGTCTATCTGCTTCACAACCATCTCACTAGTGACTGTGATGTTACATAACTTATCTTCTTCTAGCCCACTGTAAAAATTAATTACTGGAATATTGTTAGTGTCTTCCTGTGTAAAAACTGAGAGAAAATAATTATTTAAAATCAAACACATTTCATTCTCTTTGTCAGTAAGGTGCCCATAGTTATTTTTAAGGGGACCTATCTTATCTCTAACTTTTGTTCTATAGACCTGGAAAAAACTTTTTGGGTTAGTTTTAGAATCCCTAGCAACTTTAATTTCATAGTCCCTTTTAGCTGTTGTTATCCCCTTTTTAATGTCCCTCTTAATGTCAATATACTGATTCATAAGATGACCCTCACCTCTTTTGATACGCCTATAAATTCCTTTCTTAGCCCTAGTAGATATTTGAGCCTATTATTCATCCATTTTGGGTCATTTCTATTTGATCTAATTTCTTTATATGGGATAAACGCTCTTTGAGCAGCATGTACAGTGTTCAGAAAACTGTCATATTGATAGCTCTCTTCGTTACCCCAGTCAACAGATGATAAGTGTTCTCTAAGCCCATCGTAATCTGCTAAGCGAAAATCTGGGACTGTTACTCAGTTATCGCTACTATCGTACTTCCATTCAATGCTAAATGTAATTGATTTGTGGTCGCTAGCACCCAGTTCCTCTGAAATTTCTAAATTATTAACAAGGGATTCATTGTTTGCCATAACTAAGTCAAGTAGGTTATTTCCCCTTGTAGGTTCTGTCACAAACTGCTTCAAAAAACAATCCTGAAATACTTCTAAGAAGTCGTATGATTCTAAATTCCCAGTCAAGAAATTCCAATCAACATGACTAAAGTTAAAGTCTCCTAGAATTACTACATTATCGTGCCTTGTGGCCTTAACAATTTCCTCCCAAAGTAGTTTCCCTTGGTCCCTATCTAAGTTTGGGGGACGGTATATCACTCCTAAAATCAGTTTTTCATGCCCCTCTGAAAGTTCTATCCAAACAGACTCTGTATGTGTTACTTCAGACTTAATACCCGTTTTTATGCAACAGTTCAAGAGATCTCGGACATACAATGCCACCGCACCCCCCCCCCCTCCCAATACTTCTATCTTCTTGGAACAATTTAAAACACTGACTATGACATTCCGCAGGCATGTCCCGACTTTTTGAATTAAATATGGTGGGAACATGTGGTATGGTGGGAACATGTAGTATGGTGGGAACATGTGGTATGGTGGGAACATG